GTGGGTTTTTGTTAAATGTGAGCCAAAATCATCACAATTAAAAGAACCAAAGACTTGAACTACTTCAGTCTGTGTGCATTGAATTTATTTAATACACGAGTTTCACAATTTGAGGTGAATTACTGAAATAAATGAACTTTTCCACGACATTCTAATTTATTGAGATGCACCTGTAAATAGCCATTTGAATGTGTATCATTCCTCCAGTCTTTAGTGTCACATGATCCTTCAGAAATCATTCTGATATAATGATTTGCTGCTCAGGAAACATGTCTTTATCATTATCAATGTTGAACGCAGTTGTGCCGCTTAATATTTTTGTGGAAACCACACTGTGATTACTTACAGGATTATTTGATAAATAGAAAGTTCAAAAGAGTGGCATTTATCTTTTGTAACATCAGTTTAACGCATTCTTGCTGAATAAAAGTAGGCCTATTCATTTCTTTTTACTGTCCCCAAACTTTTGTATCTCTGTGTCTGTGTATGCTTTTAGGATCCCCACCTATAATGAGCTGATGCAGGAGGATGTGGAGGACTCGGAGGAAGAAGGAGAATCATTCCTGCATAAACAGGAGGACTTTGAGAGGCATTACAACTTCCGCTTTGAGGAGCCTGAAGCTGGAAAGGTAAAAGGATGTCAACGTCAGCCTGATTTGTCATTAACAACTTTGTTATATGGCGACCTGAGTGTCTAAGTGAAGAGCAAAGCTCTTTTTTTTATAATCATTACCCATCAAACCGCTGTTCCTCCACAGATTAAAACATATCCTCGCAACATTGCCACATCTGTCCGAAGCAAAGATGACAGAAGAAAGATGAAGAGGGATGAGGTGAAAGAGAGGAAGAAAAAGGTAAACTAAGCATACTACTTTTCAGGATGCTTTGATAAATAGAAAGTTGAAAAGAGCAGCGTTTATTTGAAATAGAAATCTTTTGTAACAATTTAAAAGTCTTTACTGTCACTTTTGATCAATTTAATGTGTCCTTGCTGAATAAAGGTATT